TTTTGAAATCATGAAATAGCTGGAATAAGATGCAGGGAACCGTTTTATTAGGCATTTTCATTCAACTTCCTTTGGATTGAGGATAGGTGTGTGTAAATCTTATTGTACTAATGCTTTAAATTGAAATAAATTGAAAGTGAAATTGAATTGTTCCTGTTAATAAATGTTACATTACAAAGAAAACAATTGCATGGTTCCTCAAAAGAAAAAAATTACAAAAAAAAATTTTTAAATGATATAAAAAATGTTCACCAAAATACATTTTTTCCTTTTGGGTTTTAGTAAAAATTGGTTGAAAAGAGAAGACTACGGTGAATTATGAACATTAAATTCCAATTTTGCACCACTGTGTGCTGGCTTCGGCGTGCAGTATGAATTATGGTAAACGCATTTTGGCAGTAAAGGATGGCGAAGTCCTTGAAAAGGATTTGGCCTCATTTTTCGGAATCGGTTAATTAACTGGTAAATATTCGATTTAAATTATGATATGGGTAAGGTACTTCTATCATACAAGTTGTATGTACGTATTCCCAAATCATTTGAAAAAAATTTCCTTTATTTTACGTTGGTCAATATGGCCACCGTAGTGATGACAGATAAATCCCAGATGGGTTTAAAAAATAACGAACGTATTTTTGTGCAAATTGCGGATAGAGGGTATTGAATATAAGGCCTCGATATAGGTGACAGGTAATAAGATCAACGGAAATAAGGTCAATTGACTTTATATCCCACCCTGGTGCGAAACAGAGTCAATTGACATTATTACCTTTTTAGAAACGAAAGAAAATCCGTTGGCATTATTTCTCTTTCAAACATTAAATTTGCTTAGCTTCGCGGCGGCTCGCGTCAGCGCGCCACACCGAACGCCACCGGCGCGACCGGCGCGCACCCCACGTCACGCTACACCGCGGCCCCCTTCCCCGTCACCCGCCGTGCTGTAGATTTATTTTTTGTATACGTTGAAATAAAATATTTATATATGTTAAATATCGAGGGCTTATATTCAGTAATACCCTCTATCTGCACACTTTTCACAAAGATGAGTTTCTGATATAAAAATCCCCCTAAGTTTTAACTGTCATCGGTGATATTAATGCTACTTTATATAACGACAGGTAATAAGTCCCAGATGGTTTCTAAAATCACAAGTTAGTTTTTCTGTAAATTTCAGATAGAATGAATTCAAGCCCTCGATATTTTACATTTTTATATTTGTAAGTTATTGGGAGCAGGGATGCCAACTTGGCTCAAACTGCCATTTGTCCCTATTTTACTTCAAATGGCACTTAGTCTTTCAATTTCGCACAAAGTGCCAAAATGGCGCTTTTGTAAAAAAATAACATTTCATTTTTTTGTGAAATCCTTTGCGTGCACTTCTTTTTCTCAACTAAAATTTTCTAATTTATAAAGGCTATTCAACCGGTTTATCTTATTTTATCATTGCACTTTTGTTTTTAAAATGTGGCTTTATTTTATTGCTAAATGTGAATGATTAAAAGGAATGACACCTTTTTGGCACTTTTATTTCCTATTTGGCACTTTTTTATCCTCAATATGGCACCTCATAACTAAGGATAGTTGGCAGCCCTGATTGGAAGATTTCTGCTGTGTTTTGGCAGCAACTTGTCTGCAGTAAAAAAGCATATAATTTGTGTTTCAAAAGTGTGTGTGGGTGCTCTCGGCTCCCATATTATTTATTTATTTATTTATTTATTTTATTTAATTATTAATAACACTGTGAGACAAATGGTAGGGGTCAGTGATCGGGAAGGGTTCAAACTACCGGGGAAAGTTATATCGGTAAAAAAGAAGTTATACGTGTCCCGGCGTTTCGCTGGGTCACGTCTAGGAATCGAGATATATATATATAACTATCATATAGGGGAAATTGCCACCTTTGGTGGTCTTTTTTTGACATAACTCGAGAACCACTACTAGTCCGATTTTGCTCAAACAAATTTAAAAAAATTAAAAATTACAATTCTTTTAATCTGTTCATATAACGTTTTTCTATATAATCGAGTTATGTCAAAAAAAGACCACCAAAGGTGACAATTTCCCCTATCTCCATTCCTAGACGTGACCCAGCGAAACGCCGGGACACGTATAACTTGTTTTTGACCGATATAACATTTCCCATTGGTTTCATCCCATCCCGATTTTGACTGTCGCATAGTGTAATCAACAATTGTTTATACCCACATTTTGGCACATTGGCTCGTTGAATTTACCATCTAATAAATAGTGTCGTCGCACAGTGCTTCCCTTCCATATAAAATGTGGACAAAAATAGAATTATGGACGGATTTAAATGAAAATTCGCCTCTTAGTGAAATTGAGGACGCTAAATTCAAAAATGCACTGTAAATGCAGTTTGAAGTTGAAAATTTGGGTTCTTGTGGCTTTACATAGGTATGTACATATAGTTCGTTCTATTTTCCAAAGTGAGGTGTGAAATGACAGGGCTTGGCCTGTAGATGTGCAATAAAGTTTTATATTTTTGAAAAGGGTTGCCACCTTTTACAAATTTTATTAAAATTATTTAATAAGTTAAATGAATTAGATATTACAATATGGGTATCAATTGAACTAGTTTTGAAAATACTTTACCTCTAAATGACACGTAGAAGGGTTGCCACATGTTTAAAAAATCAAATTCACTTTAATTAAGGAAATAATGTAACTGAAATATGTATATCAATATGAGTATAAGACAAATGAAAAAATTTGACATATTTAGCAAGAAATAAGTTTAGAGTAAATTTAAGGGTCCAGTAATTTGAAAAGAATGTAATCAGAACAAATCACTGATTTACAATGTATGTATTTGTACTAAAACAATAAATACGATGGCGTAATCCTCTGGTTTGGCGTAATTATTATTTTATTTTAACTAAATTCGACTTTGCAAACAGGTGGCAACCCTATTCGTAATATTTTTAAGCTTAAACCTTCTTAAACCTCATTCGTCTGACTCCCTTATGGTGATACCTATCTATTTCAGTTACCTAATTCCTTTAATTCAAGTGGAATTTGATTTTTTAAATAGGTGGCAACTCTCTACATGTAGTTAATATACATTTCGATTGATACCCATCTCTTTATAATTCATTTAACTTATAAAAAAAATTGTAATCCAATTTTTTAACAATCTAATTTTTTAACAGGTGGCAATTCGTTAAAAAAATAAACCTTCTATTGTCCACACATTAGGATTTTAAATCTGACACTTAATTTTTGAAAATGGAACGAATCGTGCAGATCTCAAGGCACTGACAAAAAATGAAAAAATTTTTTTATGCAATAGCGAAAAAAGCATTACTTCAGAAAAAGCAAAAAATGAGCAGGTTTTTATTTCATTTCTTCTTTTGAAAGCTAAAAATCTGTACTATTTAATAAAATAAAAAATTACCTATTTTTACATATATATTTTATTCATTCCATTAAAATTTAGCATTTTTTGAAATTTTGTTTAAAAAAATAGTTTTTTTTGCAACACCGCACGGACTGTGTTTAATTTTATCCCAAAATTTTAATTCCTGTAATTCTCTACTATCTATATGGAAACAAGCAACGTCAAACCAACATTTTATTCTAAAGAATATATTTTCAACATTTTCTTCTGTGAGCTTACGCCTGGCTATGCGTTTATTAAAATTCTTAGTATAAAATTTGTCGACTTTAGTGGCTTCCTGGCGGCATATAATTATTGTTTTAGGGAAATGGCTGTTTAATTCTTTTCAGTGGATAAATTGTCTTTACAGAAAGACCACACAAGTTCACATTGCAGATAACGAATTTTTCGATTTACGCCCACTTAGGCGGCACTGTGCGTCGTTCCTTAGCTGCTTTTAAATGATGTCGTCACAAATTGCTGGCGGAGACATGAATACAGTGTAAGAAAATTCTTTTTCTATAATTGTTTCCTTATAGAAAGGTTGGTTTCATTTCCACCTTAGACATTCCGAATTCGTTCTAAATATGCTAATTTAAAACACAGAATTCTTTCAGTGTTCCTCCGGGGTTTTTGGACATGGACTGTTTCTTCAATTTTACAGTGTTCGCTTTATTTTTGTGGAAACGAAACATGTTTTGCAAGTTATGGATCATTTCTACACTCTTTCTTCAAATATTTCTCGTATTCCAGCTGTGCGCAGGCGTTTAGTTTTTCGCATCGTGTTTTTACATATTCGTAATAAAATTTTTTTTAATAAAATCAATTGGTGGTACTTCATGATTGTGTGTGGATTAATATCACAACACAGAGGATTTGGCAATAACCTTTTTCATCTATTAAAAAACAACACTTACGGGGCAATGTTTATTGTAACAACAACATTTTTTTCTATTAATCGACATACTTTAACCATTGTTGACGCTATTTCCATTTGAATGAGTAAAAAGCGTCAATGACTTTATTTCCAAATTTTTGTTGACTTTATTTCGCTTTTGAAAAGGGAATAATGTCAATTGACTTTATTTTGCCCTTGCTCAAAGTTGGTTATTTTCATTCAGTGTATTTTGTTATTGTTCATATAACCACATAACCAGATAACGTGATAATCAACCAAGTGTGAAGATCCTAAGTATTAGTTAAAATACCCATAAAGAGACCTAAGTATTAGTTAAAAATACCACGAAGAATAATTTCTTAGCGATAACTTCCAAATTACATGAGTTTTTCTGATTTACTTAGGGTTCGTTTTTCAGTGTCAGTTTAAACTTTGATTAAGTAAACTGAGTTTAAATGGAACAGCTGGGTGACATTTGATTAGCTGTTTCCTTAAGGTAATAACACAGTGAATGAACTTTATGTGCGAGAGTATGCTCCAAAAAAAAAAAGCGTAACCTTTCTGATGTTTGAACCAATACTTATCGTATGCTACCAAATTTCCCTGACGTGGAGTTTTGATTAAGCCGTTAAGCTCCCAAAGCTTTAATGCTAGCACGAATTTTGTTTCAACTTTTTATACATCTACTCATATATTTCTTCTGAGAAATTAACTATTCGTCGCCTATTTTGCAGATATTTTTCATACATCAAGAGAAGTTGAGGATGATCTGTCAAAGCACAAGACTTTGAAAAGTATGCTATGGTGCATGGACAATAAATCTAAGCTTAGAAAAATTAATTCGAATATGGAATTCAGCTTACGTGTTCAAGAATTTGTAGAACTAGTTCGGTGCGACAGTCGAGTGGAAGCAGTAAAACATGCTAGGAAATATTTTCAAGCCTTCGAGAGAACACAACTCAAAGAAATTTGCAAATGTATGGCTTTATTAGCTTATCAGCCAAACACGGGTAAGTGATTCAAACAAACAGCACAATTTAATCCTTAACTAACAGCGCTTTGAAAGTTACACTAAACAACGCGCCGCGGCAATTTAGTAGCTAGGAGCATCTTAAAGGCTGACAGCATTTTATTTATGTCGAAAAATAATTCAAATAAAACATTTGAATAATTGTGTTTATATTGAAACATATTACACTGTGCGACGGGGTGTACATAGCTCAGTGGTTAACGCTTCTGACTTTGAACATCGAATTCTACTTCTACCGCTTAGACTTTGTTGCTTTTTCAATTTTTCCTAATAAACAATCGTGGTACAAAGCTCAATAAAAATATTAAAAATAAAATGTTAACAAGCCACAATAACATTGACAAAAACCAAAAATTTTTAAAACAGGAAAAAAATGAGTATATTCACAAAAGTAGGAGCCAAATATAGTATAATTGCGGTTTTAATATTTCCCTATGACGTCGGGATTTTTTTTTAAAGAGTGAAATTTGAAGGACTTGATTGAATAAAAAAATAATTTAAAATATTTGGTGCATTGTGGAGTAACAATATGGGTATCAGTTAAAAGGAAAAATTCTGTAGAATTTAACAAAAATTTAATTTTTTTTGCACCAGGATGTTGAAAATATCCTTTTAAAACTTTATCCTTGACTATCCTTGGAAATTTCCAATATTTATTTTTGAAAAGAATATATGTCAAGGAAATATATGTAAACTACAACAGCTCTAATTTCGTCCTTTTAACTTTATTAGTTTTGGATAAAAAATTTTGCACTTCTCTATAAGATATTGTTAGTTACAATATACATAAATGAAGATACAGATACTTGAATCGTTACACTGTACAGCACTCCGCTGGGTATTGGACCAAACAAATTTTGTTAATAGACTGAGTCATTGGTAAAAAAGTAATTTCTCCGTTTTTTGAAGTTATCCTCCGAAGTTGAGATGTGGGCCTTCGAAGTTCGACATGGGATCTTTGGCAAAAAATTATATTTTATTGTTATATGTAAATAACAAAAAAACTAAAGATACAGTCGTAGACCGCCCATTGGTCTTATTTAAATGGTATATAACTTTTTTTTTGCAAACTTATATTACAGGTGCTACAAGGGGGCAAAGGTCGGGTCTTCGAGAAATTAAAAACCTTATATTTCAAACAATTTTGAACTGATTTTTAATAAGTTGGTATCGTTGTAAACGTGACTAGACCCCCTTCTTCTCTTCAGATATGCATATTTGTATACTTTGCATGTAAAAATTTGAGAAAAAACTTTTAAAAGGAAAAATACCTTTTTTTATAAGAAAAAAATATTTTAAACAAACAAATTTTTACACATTCAGGGTTATCAAGAAATCCATCGTAGAAAATCTACGAATACGAAAATATTGATATCAGTGAATCTGAGTGAACTCGAAAAGGTCGTTGCAAGCTTCGAATGCCTATTAGAAATTAGCTAGTGCAAAAAATACAATAGACATTTATTTATGCCGTTTTGCTCACGTTGCCCCAGAAGTCGGAATGGCAGAGTGTGCAAAGCACTAGACTGGTAGTTGAGAGAACCGGGTTCTAGTCCGAGTCGTCAGGGAGCGGAGCATTTTTTCTTTTCTTATTTAATTTTTGTTTATTTTTATAATACATTTTATTTCTTAGTTTAGATATTTTAATATTTTAAAGAGAAAAATATATTTGTTTTATTATTTTTAATGATATTAAAGTAATTTGATTGTTAAACTATTTCCTCGCTTCATAAAAAATATTCATTCATTAAAGAACGTCTAGCACAGAGGTTCCCAATCTTGCTTTTCTCGTATACCCATTTCAAAACTTTACTGGTTTCGGTGACCCCCTGCAGCCCATTCTAACATATTTCCACATCTCATCAAAAAATGTGAAGATTACATCTAACGATGAAAAGTTGCATCGTGGGTGAGTTCCAAAACTACATTCGGGGTGGCAAAAATAAAAATAAAATATTTTATTGCGTTCTATTTATTAAAATAATGTGACTATACACTTTCAAGTTTTAAAAACACAGAGCTCGTAAAGCCATCAAAGTACTATCTCGCCGAGAGGAGTTATATTTTTTAAGAACACTCCATAAACTCCTCACATGTTCGGATCGCTTCTGAGTTTGCATGGGACGTATTTGTAAAATAGTTTATTTGTGTTGATGGCATCATTTTTATTTTTATCGCTTCGAGTTTTAAAGTGATGCGAAAAATATTCACCACTCACATTTTTAAAACACAAAACTTGAAACAACTAAACAACAAAGCTTTTTACGCCAAACTTTAAATTCATCACGTATGAAAGTGCAGCAGTGCGTCAAGAGCACTATATACCACTCTTAAAAATTTAAGTTAAATAGAGAGGCAACCATTTTAGTTCTTTACTATCGAAACCAGAAGACATTTCCGTGACCCCAACTTACAACTCGTGGACCCCCATATATTTTTAATGCCAGCGTTGACCCCGTCGAGTCTCCCATGGACCCCTGGGGGTCCACCTGGACCACTTTGGGAATCACTGTTCTAGCAGATGAATGTATGTATGTACATATGTGTGTATGTAAGGCATTAGTATTTTACGCCTTCGTTTACAAAAATATATGGAATTTTATCAAACTATAACAAATTTGGAGTATAATAAATATTTATTATTAACAATAATGCAGCCTTTCTTCCATCATTTTTAAGATTCAGAGATTTTGAAATTTGCTCCGACAGCATAAACTTGTCGTAGAATATCTGTATGAATCTATCATTACGAACGGATTCAGTGAATGCTCTCCACGGATTTCGAATTTACGTTCGTGGCCATTCGGATTTTGTGATAACACTTTCGTAGATTTCATGAAAATCGAAGCTACGATGGATTCTGTGATAGCCCTGATTGTGAAATATGCTTGCAATGTTTTATGCAAACTTTTTTGTTACAATTAATACCACAAATTTTTGTTTTATTATGCCTGGTTTCAATTTCTGTTGCGCAGCTGGTTCGTTTCTATATAATTTAAAAACATCCCTTTTCTCTAAAACCTAAGACAATGAATATCATAATAGTTACAGTAATGTATACGCAAATTATTATTTTTAAAATTACATACAAAATAACAATTTTGATTTAGATCCTTATAATAAACTCACTTTTACAACTAACTTAACAAAAATTTTGCGAGATACATTCAAATTTTTTTTTGGTATAAGGAAGGGCGCGACGCGGCAACTCAGCCGCATATATGTATGACGACACCAACTTTCAAATAGAAATATCAACTGAACTATATAACGCAGTAAGTAACAGCTAACTGTGAACCATGCTGCATCTCAAAACCTACAAAGCCACTAAGTGGCAGTGGCCGGCTACTACAATTGGTATTTGAAAACCAGAAATTAAAATGTTTACGGCTAATTTGCTACGGCGCACCCTCCGACGGGTTAACAGCTGAGGTGGCTATACAGAACTATCCTATTTTTGATAAACTTCACTTCTGACCTCGGGTGGCGGATAGTGAAGGTCACAAAAATTAGTAAAGTACGCAAAGAGATCTCTGTATCCAATCTATAAACCTGAAAGACTTTCAGTCTCTAAAGTCTCTACCCCTTACCACTGGTGGGGGAACCAGCGACTATAATATAAGATACTAACTTTTATTTTACTTGTAAGTTTAGTTTGTTTAATTATAAATAAAAAATATATGACAAAAGTTTAGGTGATATTATTTTCAAATCTAATTTGTTTACTCAATATTTCTTCCTCATATACAATTTGCTTACCCTATGTTGGTAAGCTAATTTAAATAAAGTTTTGTATATCGTTGGCTTAGTGTACACACGTGCTAAGTCAATTTTTTTTTTTACTTTTTAGGAGGAACAAAAACCCGTCTAGCTTTTTTTGTTGTTAATATTTTCCTAATCTGTAAATGCAGTTTGCTGTTCTGTCTGGCCTCTTTTGGGACTACCACATTTTCTCTTTGTGATCTTGTTCTTTTAAAGTGGACTTTGCCATTTTCTATCAACCCGTGTTCATTATTATTTTATTGTTAAATTTATTTCAAATATATTTTGTTTTAAAATGAATAATAACCTATTACAGTTCTATTTCATTGCTGTTAACAAAAATAACTATTTTAAATCATAAATTTATGTACCATTTATAAAGGAAAATAATTAAAAATAAGTAACTAAAGAAGTATACGTTTGGGCGAAACCGAACTTTATGTACCCGACTCAGATATCAAATTTTGTTGTTTTAGCTTTCTCTAAACTACCTTTCAAACGTTTCAAACGTTTTCGACAATATGCTGAGTTAGACTCAGTGATATAGACCAATGGCCTTATTCATAAAAAATAAAGTAGCTTTAAAAAAAGGTTTATAAACAGAAAAATTTATGAAAACGTCATTTTATAAAGCTCGTTAAACCTACTTTATTTATTATGAATAAGTCCACGAGTTTGGTAGAAATCGATAAAGTCGTTGCCGAGACACACCTTTTTAGTCATAAAAGGGCCGGTGCCACGCCCAATTCCTAAAAATTCAACAGCTGTCTTATTTATTGTTAAGAGATTGTTGTAAGTATTAACTTGAAGTAAATTAGCGTCCTCAGTTATTGAAATATCGGAGTTTCCGTATTTCTGAAATTTACCTTTAGATATGGGTAGTGATGGAGAACTATCGATAGTATCGATGGTTTCATTTTGCCGCCACTATCAAATTTTTCTAAACACTATCGATAGTTGGATGTTATTCACATTGTTGGAATTGGACTATAAAAGATACATATTTTCTTCATGGTTTTCGTTATAAAATGTGTTATTCAAATACACGATCTCATTTTGTTTTACACAAGTTATTTTTGTGTATAACTTAACTTTACTGCCGGGTAAATTTATAAAAAAATATATATTTTTTAGTACTCTATGATCACGTCTTGTCTTTATTGAGTCAAAATTTGAACTAACTTTAGTTGACAATCGGATTCTTAACCTAAGCTTGGA